GTGGTCGCGTGGAGGTGGACTGGCGGAGCAGTGGAGGGAAGGGCTTAGGGCTGAGGCCTGAAGGCGGAGGCGTGGACTGTGGTCTGTGGAGGCGGAGAAGTGGAGGAAACGGCGCAAGGAGAGGGAAGTGAATGGGGAGAAGACGAAGATGGGCTGATTTGGGGGAAAATTTGAGTGAGAATGGGATTGGAAAAACGAATTGTTGAAAACAAGAGATGGAGGCGGTGGAAGGATTAGGGTATATGTGTCTGAGGCGGTGGAGTGGAGACTAAGGCGGTGTATTTGGACAAACTCTCCAAAGTTCACGGAGCAAATATCATTTTGCTCCGTGGACTCTGGAGGGTTTGCTCCACTCCGGAGCGTTTGCTCCGGAGTCTACGGAGCTGCTCAGAGTAAATTTTTTTTTTTAAAAGGTTTGTTTTTTTTGTCGCTCGCCTTTCCCAGTCAACCCAGTCAACAATTGTGGGTAAGTAAAAACTCTACATTACCCTTTTGTTTTGATAAGATTTCACAACTGAACATAAATAATGAGGATAAAATGAGGAAAACATTAATTAGTGGGGATAAAATGGGATGGGAAAATGCTTCAAAATGAATAGTAAACTGCGGATTCGCTCTTTTAATGTAGTAGGGAAATCAAACGTGAATTTTGAGGACGCTGGACACAGTCGCGCAGGGTTGCGGGGAAGGCCTGAAGGTGGTCGCGTGGAGGTGGACTGGCGGAGCAGTGGAGGGAAGGGCTTAGGGCTGAGGCCTGAAGGCGGAGGCGTGGACTGTGGTCTGTGGAGGCGGAGAAGTGGAGGAAACGGCGCAAGGAGAGGGAAGTGAATGGGGAGAAGACGAAGATGGGCTGATTTGGGGGAAAATTTGAGTGAGAATGGGATTGGAAAAACGAATTGTTGAAAACAAGAGATGGAGGCGGTGGAAGGATTAGGGTATATGTGTCTGAGGCGGTGGAGTGGAGACTAAGGCGGTGTATTTGGACAAACTCTCCAAAGTTCACGGAGCAAATATCATTTTGCTCCGTGGACTCTGGAGGGTTTGCTCCACTCCGGAGCGTTTGCTCCGGAGTCTACGGAGCTGCTCAGAGTAAATTTTTTTTTTAAAAGGTTTGTTTTTTTTGTCGCTCGCCTTTCCCAGTCAACCCAGTCAACAATTGTGGGTAAGTAAAAACTCTACATTACCCTTTTGTTTTGATAAGATTTCACAACTGAACATAAATAATGAGGATAAAATGAGGAAAACATTAATTAGTGGGGATAAAATGGGATGGGAAAATGCTTCAAAATGAATAGTAAACTGCGGATTCGCTCTTTTAATGTGGTAGGGATTTATAGGAAATTCAAACACATTTTTCAAATTTCCCCAAAAAATATAATTCTCAAAATCATAAATGCCAAAACAAATAATATTCTGTTCGTGGACGGATAAAATTATATTCGTGAACTAGATTTGAGCTAGGGTGAGTTTTCCGTCTAGGCATGAGGCGAGGTGTTTTCTCCGTCCCCCACATCTAGGCTAGACTTCTAAAATACTTGCAACAATATTATTGTAGCAATACCAAGAATTGCAACCGATGCATTAGCGCTCAACACTACATTGTTTCTGGACATCAATAGTTTCCTTGCACACCGAGACTGCAGTTTCTCCATTTGTATCGCTTGTTAAGAGCTTTTAGTTGCCGACTTGCTGCGGTTTGGAGCTTTTAGTTTTTGTCAATTTAAACTAAAGTGTAAACTTGTCATTTTATGCCACTTAAACAGAAATTATAGACGAAAATGATTAACAAATGTCGTTAATTAATGAAACGTTAAGGTCAAGAATGCCAATAAAAAAGGTTGAAAATAAAAATGCAACAAGCGTCAAAAGTTAAGAAAGGCGAGCGCTATTTACTTGGAATAGAACTCCAAGTTTGATGACGGTTTTCTTAGGTAAGAAAAGATTGGAGGCCATTGTGAAAAATTCCCTTTGTCCCATTTAGGGGTGGACATGGGTTGGATTGGATCGATTTTTGCCTCAATCCAAATCCAACCCAACATGATTGGTTTGATCAAAATTTAACTCAACCCAACCCAATCCAACCCAATTCAAGCACGTCGGGTTGGGTTGGGTTGGTCGGTTTGTGACAACTTGTCAACAAAAATTAAAGTAATCCAATTGTCTATTATACTAAATTCAAATAAACAAGATTAAATAACAAGCAAATAAATAAAATTATTTATTATCTTATTCAATTCTCATTAGTCGAGCCTACAAAGAACAAAGTGTATTTAACATAACATGAAAAAATTATATTACATTTCTTGTGGGAAGGAGAGTAAATTCCTCCTCTAAAATGCACCAAGCTAATTAGAATTACACTATTCACTCATACCTTTTAGGTTCCTTTTACTTTTTAGACATTTTATTTCTTTTTCTTTTTATTATTATTATTATTTTTTTAAGTAAATGGGTCGGGTTGGGCGGGTTTATTTGATTTTCATGAGTTAACCTATAACCCGACTCAACCCGCCAACCCAGCCAACCCACCAAACCCGTGTAAAAACAACAAAAAAAACCAACCCAAACTGATCGGGTTGGTTCGGTTTGGGCGGGTTTTGCCCACCCCTGATCCCTTTTATATATGCTGGTTTTATTTTTCAGACAAATAAAAAAATCTTATTTAATATTATTGAAAAAACATTTTTTGCCAAAAATTTTTCTAGTCTATCATTATTTATATTTGTACAATTTCAAGATTAAGTGGAAAAAAATGGACTAGCTAGGTAAATTAAATAAGAGTATATTAGTAAACGATAAAAAAAAAAAAAAACATTCTCAATAAAGAAACGGAACTATATAATTGAGATGAGAAAATAAGGAAAGTCGGCCTATATAAATGGGATGGAGGGAATAATATGAAAAGTTCGATTATTTGAAAGTGTTTTTGACCTTTTTTTTGAGTGATGTTATTTAGCCCCATAGGGATTGTAACCTATCATCTAGTGTTACCTAAGATCGGGTTGCAACGTCAGTGAGACTACATAGCATTACTCTTTTCTTTTAGAATTGTTTTCCCTTTTCCTTTTTTAGATTTATTTCTAGCAAAATAAATTGATAATTTGATATCGAGGATATTAACACGAAAAATCATGGTAACACGAAGGGCACATGATGGGTAATGAAGTGGTGGATCTAATATTAGTTCCAAGGATGTTTACATGATATTTCTTGCTGAATGACGTTTACTTGAAAGTTTATTCACGTCAATTAAAAAGTTAAGAATGCTCGTACATTCCTTTTATCGATACTTGAAACTTCATTATGCTTTATGATATTTTTTTATACCATCCTAACTAGTTATCGTCTCAGGTAATGAATGAAGATGTGGTCGATTTTCGCAAGATAAAATCGTTGCTTTGAGGCAATTGTATATGGAAATTAACTGAGAAAAGTTGCTTCATTGATTCTCGTAAATTTCAAGGGTGCGTTTTGTTTACTATTTTCAATCTGTTTTCAACTTTTAATTTTTCAAAACATCGAAACTTGTGTAATTTGAATTTTTGAAATTTAGCCTTACCTCGCATCGTGGCCCTCACCAAAGCAAAATGACTTTTAGATCAATATTAGTGTCACAAGAGGTGTGAAATACAAAAACCTAAGGGAAACAGGATGAGCTCATTAATCAAACAGTTAATGCAAATCACCAATTCAAGAACACAGTCTCGGTTTTATATGGAAGTGCCAGCAGATCTCTTCAAAACTCTTGCTATGTTTCTACAGGTCTTAAAAACAGATCATGGCCTAATGAGTTGGCGGCACATCAGTAGTAAAATATAAAGGGACAGATAGCAGGCGGTATCATGGACTTTTGAGCTGTGATTGCATCCAGTTTTACCAAAACAACAATGGACGGAATGGAAGGATTTATTTTGACACCCTTCCCCATTTTAAATTGGTATGGTATTGGGACTATTCATTTTAGAATTTAAATAACTTCTAAAACTAAAAGGAAAATCCTTTTGAGACACAACTTCAAAACAAAACTAAGAACAACCTAAACGCAAGAAAGGGATTACGAAATATCGAGTGTTGCACTGCACAGTCAAGAGCATGTAATAAAGCTAGTTAGTTACACATTCCAAAAAAAAAATAATAAACGACATAATCACTGAGATAGATATATAGACAAATAAAGCGCCACAGAGAGAGAGAGAGATTTCTCATCATAAATTAATTTTTGTAGTGCAAGCAGGCAGAATCCAAGTACAGCGTATTGATTTATAACCATCTTCCGAGTAAATAGAATACAATAACTATCCTTACATGAATACACCCTTTCACAGCTGCACGACGGCAAAAGGCTTGTGGAAGCTCCCCTTGGCCATATAGGGGATAAATCATAGCACCATTTGCATTAGGAAACCTAAAAATGTTAAGAAAATAAATCGAGGACTACAAGTATTGGTTTGTGTAAGAATTCGCAGCATTCTTTAACATGAATTTCGGGTCAACAAACTTACTTGAAATGATGAATTCCAAGATCTTTTCATGGTTGAATCACCTTGCATTCCAAAACTTCAAAATCGACATTTTCTTGTTCTCCGATGATCTCAATCCCGATCACAATGGAACGTGATTATTATTCACAATCTAAGTGCCAATTTTTGTGAGATTTCTTGTCAAAAATATGGTTCTAAAAACTTTAAAATTTTGGTGTCAATTTTCATACGAATCTTCCCTTCTTTATTCATGCCATCTTTTTCCTTTCTTTCCATTGCATAATCATTGGAGATTGTGTGGGAGTTAATGGTGATTGTAGGGAGTTGTATATTTGAATTTCAAGTTCAAACTATTCCCTCCAACCCTTTTAGTAACCTGTGGGTCGGGCCATCCCACGTAGGCGACCCACAACCCGTATTTTTCTAACATCTCCCACTCTCACGTGATGGGCTTGATCTGAACCACAAGGGACAATGAATGTCACTTGTTAGATTTTTCTCAAGATCTATCTCACAAAAATTCATACGACAAATAGATCGTACGACCAATGAGTAATATTAGAGCTTACAGTACTATAAAACTGTTAGGGATATATAGTAGCTGTACTAGAGGAACATTACATCTCGCTATACCCCAAACTCATTTTCTAACATTAATTCAAATATTTCCCATCTCTCGAATATTTATGGAACATACTTAAACCCCACATCATATCATTATATTCACAATTGTGTTCTATACTCTAAATGGTTAAATACAATTGTCCGGCTGGTAAATACAATAAAAATGTTGGTTAAAATAGTTTTCCTTTTCTACTTGAATTCTTCAACTTTAAATCAGCTGCTTTCCTAAGCATGTCCCATCAAATCGAATCAATCATAGTTATTAGCAACATGCTAAAGTAGTAACACCAAAATAAAATCTCAAGAAACAGTCAAAAGTCATAAGAGTATATATGAGGTTATATAAACCTCAATGTCTCACACAATGAGGAAGCAGGGATCCATTCACTCATTTACCCATTATTGGTCGTAAAAGTACACGTGGTATGAAACACACGCTACGATGTTTTCTCCCATTCTTAGGGCGTATGTCATATCCTTTATAAACAACTAATACCGTACAGATCCTACTTCAGGTATTTCCCGATACCTAACTTGAGTTCTCCTTATATTCATTCCTCCAGACAATCTCAAATCGAGAACTCGATCTAGCTACTAAACAAGTTTAATGGATAACAAAATCCATTTTGATTACTTCTTGTAATCTCATCTTCATATCTTATCAAGGCGACCAGATTACGTACACAACATGATCACTTTGTGTGAGTGAACCAATCTCCACCT